AAAGAGGGGTAAACGCTAATTGAATCACGTCGATTGCCATGATGCACTTTGAACTATTCTAATGTTAAACCACGTGATTGATGGAGCAAGTCGAGAAACCATCACTTCGACACTTCTGGTTTCTAGAAGAGCCGCTAGATAGGGTCTGATCATTGATTTGGAGCACCTAGAGTCGAACGCAAGCATGTTGTTTCAGCTCGTTTTTCGTTAGTCACTAGTGTTTCCCTCCTTTGTAGGCGCTAAGAATTTAGTAGGCCCTAGGCACTGTGCCTACATTGCATAATGGGAAATCCAGCACTGAACACATATTCATGTGTATGTAAATATATCACTGGGGCCTCTTAATATGGCTCCAAAGGAAAGGTCCTCAGTTGAGTGCAGATTGAGCTCCTTGATCGCGGGTTCGGACCTTGGTTATGTCACTAGCCAGCTGTGAGCAGGACTCCTCAAGAAGAGGAGCGCAATTGTCCGAGCACTGCTGAGGGTAGGGTGGGGTTACTCAGTCGGGGTTCTTGGTGGTACCCTGTGGCCTCCTTGGGGCTTGCACACACTTAGGCAGTGAGGGACATGCGACTCTTCCAATCAGCACTGCTTGAGTTAAAAGGTGATTGGCTTGAGGGCGATCAGGTGGGAGGAGTCTGTCTACACTTCCTCATTCTTCCTGTGTGCAGTCGCAGTGTTTGTAGATGCCAGCCCAGATGTGAGAAACACACAACTGGCTGTTCCAAATTAGGCTACTCTAAAAAAGTTGTTGTATATTTTTCTATTTTGAAAGTCTTCCAGTGTTTTCTCCAGCTGAGTTCTTAATCAAAGGCTAATTGTTTTGAGCTCCCAATTGGATGAAAGTTTGTAAATTTGCTCTCCGCTCTAAGAAGGTAGGGTGGGATTTGTGATTGGTATCAGCCCTGTACCACTTTCTGAGGTTCAGAGCCACCCTCCTTGGTGTGCTGTCTAAAACCAACTGGACATTAATTTTCAAGATGGCTGTCAAGAATACATCCTGAATAGTTTAACTGGAATTGCAAGTTTAGCAATTACTAAATAGGGCTGTAAGATATGAGAACTGTAGATCACAGGATATCAACGCTGTTCTTTCTCTCCCCTCTTTCTTTAGGCCTCAGCAATCATGTGTCACAGAGGGCTGGTTCCACTGTGGGTCGTCCTGTTGCTTCTGATGACACTGATCCCCACAGCCCTGTCGCGGAGGGGCGGGTCAAGAAGTGGATCGAGGGGCGGGGCTAGAGGCGGGGCAAGAGGCAGGGCAGGGGGCAAGGGCGGGACATGGCGAGGAATCAAAGGTGGGTCGCTGGGAGGGGTCCGGGGCGTGGCTTTGGGCGGGGCCAAGGGAGTGGCCACAGGAGGAGGGTTGGGGTCTCAACTCAAGGGCCTGCCTTCCCACATCTTGCCCAAGATGGGCTCAACCAATCAGGGGCTGAGGGTGGGGGG